AAGGAGACAATAATAATAATAGATATGCTATGCTACCACAAAATAAGCTTAGATGAAAAAATATTGGTGGTAAGTTAAATAAAAGAATCATATCTGGATCAGTTTACCTTCTTGTACTGATGTGCATAAAACTGTAGTTAATCATTTGTTTTTAGATTAAATTGCATTTCCCGTCTATTGATTATGCTGAACATGACAGCTATCAGTCTGAATATTTCGACTATGTTTAGGGATGAATAGGAAATGATTTTAGTTGGTGGTAACTAGTAGTGGAATCCACTGACGCACACTTCGTCTCGTTTCAGACTCATCATCTGGATATATTGGCATTTAAAGTAGATGATGGTATACCGCATAAGTTGCTTTTGTGGCCCTCGTGGCTTCGTGGATAATGCTTTGCCGTCAGTGGAAATACTATCACCCACTAGGAATGCAGGTGCATCTAAATGATAGCTCCTAGATAGGACGAAATGTTTATCTTGAACTCCTCAGCCAATCACCATCAAGCAAAATCAATGCATTTAATCATGGCCTTGTACTACACTTTTTCATGTAATGCATTCGTGATACATTCACTTCAGACAACTTATTATAACTATAGCCAACAGATTAATGTGTAGAATATGATAGAGTTTATTCGTAGCTTCAACTTGGTATACTGATTAATGAATATTTATAGACAAATTGTTGGGATTTAAAAAAAATATTCCGGATAAATTTAGGCGTTGTTTTTATAATCTTATTATCCTTGAACCTTACAAAAGAGAAAGTGTTGTCATTATGAATAAATCAGATTATCCAATAAAAGTAATGTAATCCTCAAACATCAGTTCAAATTTCTGGTGGATAATACTGCTAATAATGTGCTGCTTGTAGAAAAGCAGGTCGATCATCACTTTCAGATTTCACTGATGCATGGTTTTATGAATGAAAAATTTTACAAACAACTTGAAGCTATTGGATCACATTAGCCACAGCTGTATGGTCTTCCAAAGATTCACAAACTTGTGAACCTGCAGAGACTCACCTTAGATACGCCGAATTCCCCATATCACAAAACAAAAAAAAATGGATTAAAGAGATCACTAGGCCCAAAAGAGACTTCTTATCAAATTATTCTGTAAAATGTTCATTCGACCTAACTAATATGCTGGACACTGAACAACAAGGAAAAGGTAATGCGCTCAATCAATATAGAATCCTTATTCACCAATGTTCCACCTCATGAGACTGTTGATTTCACTTGCGATCACATCATAAGCAATGGGATACACCTACATATTCCTGCAACTTACATCAGAGACAATATCTCAACATGTACAGAAAATATCATATTCACCTTCCAAACACAGCCATACAAACAAGTCGATGATGTTGCTATGGAAAGCCCTCTTGCGTCCCTGTTAGCAAATATATTCATGTCGAAGTTGGAGAAATAAATGCATGGTACGCTGGGAGAATGTATGCTGTATAAACGTTATGTGGACGATACAATCACTCATAATTGGTAATAATATCAAGTTTACTGAAAACTTTATTACTCTGTTTAATCATATACATCCAAATATCCCAGTGACTTCCGAATTCTAATCCAATAACAAACTCAATTTCCTGGATATTACAGTGACCAGGAGAGATGATGGAGCGATAAAGTGATCTATTTTACGTAAACAGACGTGGAGTGGACAATATCTTCATTTCACCAGTTTTGTTCGTATCCAGTGAAATGTTTGTTTCCAAGGGCCCGCTAAACATGCATGAGCGACACATTGATGAATAGGCTTCGACAGATATATTGTTTTATTAAGTAATGGTTATCCAGAAAACTTTAGCAATTGTCACAGTGGGGATAGACCACATCTAAGAAAGACAGCTTCTCTACCAAAGAAAGCTGTCTTTATTAACCTACCATCTCCTTCCATCACATCTCGAACATTTCCCATCCCTGTACCTATGATTAAAGGACGAAATTCTGTGCATTCTACTTCAAACTGTATCTACAAGTTCACCTGCAGTTTCGGTGACACGTATATAGGTAGAACCAATGGAGTGTTTCAATATCGTCGAAAACAGAATATTCCAAAATGGTTATTAAAACATAGAAAATCCAATGAGATTAATCTGAATAGAAATCCATCATCATCCATTGCAAAATACTTATTAATGTTAGGTTACAAAATCAATTTTCTATAGTTTAGTTTCTAAGGGTTAGTTTTGTTTTTTGCGAGTTGATCACGGATGGATATCAGTTAGATAACCATTGAAAACCAGGGAGTAATGGACAGCTGTTTTATCCTGCCGATGATTCCCAAACTAGAATGAAACAGCTGTCCAGTACTCCCTGGTTTTCAATGGTTCTCTAACTGATATCCATCCGTGATCAACTAGTAAAAAACACAAAATCAATATTAAGGACTGTTTCACAGTTATTTCACATAAGTCTAATTCAAGTTTATTGAAGGTGATGGAAGCACTTTGGATTAATCACATACAGCTTAAACTGTGTGTGCAAAAACAGTAGACTTCAACCTTAGCCTATCATGAACTACTTAACCTACTTAAATATGATAGGTCATTAGTATGTACTTTTGTTTTACATAACTGAATGATTGTCATGCATTTTATTTTATTATTGTTAACCATGTTAGTCGTAAAGCGGTTGTAAAGAAACTACGAAATGATATCACCTCGCGAAATTTGTCTTCTAAATACCTTATTCAAATTTATCTAAGGGATTAATTGTATTAATTCTTGTTATAATCGAAAATGTATGAAAATCATTCACAGGTCTTTATATTCAGACAAAAAATTGTAGAATCAACAGAAAGATATTCTAAATGATTTGGCTTTTGTTTTACAAGAAACGCTCTAGTTAGCAGTTGGCTGTGTTCAACGCGGCAATAATATAATCGTAATGCACTTAAAAAAGCTTGAAAACGTAATTTTAGAAAGCACTCACTTCAACAAATGTATCATATAGAACATAAAACACCTAGACATATTTCAATAAACCTAAAACGTTATACTTAAGTGATGTCATGCATTCTATTCATCGGAATATAGATGATTTAACTAAACAACTATTAAATATTTAGCAGTCTTAAAAGTGCACTAGTTGTCTTTACTTTTTATGGATAGTGAAATTCCAAATGGACGAATATTTCAACAATTTCTCGCATACCTTACACTTCGTCTACATTATTGATATGCTGTTCTACACTTATAAAATAAATACGATATTTATTTGAAGTATGCTTAAATTATCATAATAAAGGTTTTTTGTATTTCCCGATGAATGAGTGAAAAACAAAACGATATTATCGTTTTTACTGACGTTTCGCTATTTATTGCTGCTAATAGCTTTATCAAAGTATTATTAAACCGGAATTTACAAAATCTCACTATATACATATAACAAAGAGTTAAGAGGTGAGAAAATAGACTTAGGTTAAGTTAAAAGGACATATTGAAAGTCAAAATAACAATGAAGATCACTAAACCAAATAACAAAGGTAATAGTACGTCAGTTATGATATCAAAACAAAGTTTATTAACTTGATCACCGTTCGTCAGTCTTGGGTCACTTTTGGTTGTCAAATTGGTCAACTGGTAAAGATAACAAATCCAAGTATAGATTGTTGGATTTGATCAGTGTGTAACGTTACAAAAGCAGTGTGTGTTTACATAGTGAACTTGCTTATCACATTCGTGTTGATTTTGGCTCTTCGTGGGGGAGGTAAGGGAGATGTTGTAACCAGATCAGATTCTGTTTTAGTCCATCATACCTGTTCAGACAATTTGGATTCTACTTGATATGAGGTGCTTCTGACATTAGACGCTCTTTATGATTCCTGAAGTTTTTCTGGATTATTTCAATAGTGCCGAAATCAATTTTGTAGCATGATTCTATAGAGTGTACACCTACGGCTGATGGTTTTTCAAGTTTTTCTAGTTCAACTGGATTTCTCGGTGGTCGAAGAGATGCTCTAAGGTGTTCATTTCTTCTGATTTTCATTTCTCGAGATGTAGATCGCATCACATTCCAAGCATTTTGTTTTATAGACACCATTAGATGGAGAATCTTTCAGGATTTGGTCTTTTATATGGACAAGGTTGTTTCGTAGTGTGTCTGACACTCTACAAATCTATTATAATTAATTGCCACCACTGTCTCCCGTTTTACAATATTTTGGTAATCGATTTCAGCCCAGAGCACGTCTGTCACACAAATCCGACTATTTATTTTGGTGCTTCTTAACTAATCTGTTATTATTAATTCTCACTGGTCTACTGCCAACAACGTCTGCTTCAAATTCTCAAATGACAATATTGACTGTATAACTGTAAAATGTCGACCTAAACACTTACCTAAGTACAACTCCATTTTTGTCACAAATATCTATATCACACCTTGTTGCAGTCCCTCAGAACTATCTATCTTCGCTGATGAATTCACTATTTTTGCTGCTGCTTCGTTTGGTAACTCCTTATCTATAGTGACCGGCGACTTCAACTCCAGCGACTGCAGTTTTATTACATTGCTGGGCCATGCAAATGTTGTTAATTTCCCAACTCGACAAAATACTTCACTTGATTTAGTATTTGTAAATGATTCTGGAATATACGAAGCTCGTAAAAGAGCCCCACTCTTCAATTCTGATCATTGTATTGTACGAGTCTTACCCAAAATTTACGGAAAGTTACACAGTAAAGCCCTCTCAAACTTGTCTAAGAAAGTTGTTCACAGATGCTACTCAAATGAGAACGTACATCATCTTAGAAACATGCTCAGTGACACAAGATGGGATTTGTTTAATGTTGATTCACTTAATGACAATATCTCTAATATTACATCCTATCTGAAATTCTGTTTTGAAATCTGTTGTCCAAAAGAAACACTATTCGTCAAATTTGACCGTTTCTCCTCGCCTCAACTTAAAAAGCTTCGTAGAGAGAAGGAAAAACTATATAAAATCAAAGATAAAATTGGTGTAAAAAGAACTAACTTCTTAATTAAGTCTGAAATGCAGAGGTTGAATGTAATATATAACCAGAAATTCATGTCCTGCAAAAATCCTTCTAATATGTGGAAACTATTTAAGGAAATCACTGGTGGTAAGCAGATAAACAATATTCCATATTCTTTTGATGTATGTACTCTTAACAAATCTTTTATTTACTCTCCCTCAAATGCCATGCTTCCCAGCATCACTTGTGTTAATAATAGCCCCTTTCCAGGTTTTAACACAAATGATGTTCAAAAGTGCCTCAAGTCTCTAAACCCTTCCCAGAGCTTAGGTCCCGATTATGTACCTAGTATTATTTTTAAAAAATGTTCTGATATTCTGTGTCACCCTCTTACTGATCTATTTAACAAATCTTTTTCCGATAATATTGTGCCTGCCGTTTGGAAGGACATTAAAGTTGTACCCATACCTAAATCTTCTACTGGAGCATGTGTCAAATTTAGACCCATTGCTATTACGTCTCCTTTTTTGAAAACTATGGAGAAATTACTTTTACTTAGTCTTGAACCTTCGCTTAAATCCTTTAATGACCCTAAACAATTTGCCTATAAGCACAGTAGAAGCACTTTAGATGCAGCTGCCGTCTTATATCATAACATTGCTTCCAGTCTAGACAAGGGGGCTAAATTTGTTCGTTGCGCCTTCCTAGACTATACATCTGCATTCGACTCGGTCCCTAGGGACATCTTATTAAATAAACTTGCTGCTAGTCAAACAGAATGTTGGGCTGTTAACTGGTTGCATTCCTATTTCTCAGATAGAAAGCAGTACACCGTATATAAAGGGAAGTCCTCCACTTCATTGCCTACTGAAGCTGGTGTCCCTCAAGGTGCTGTTCTTTCTCCTTTTCTTTTTTCTTTCTTCTTGCACGACTTGCCTCACTCTGATGAAATAAACTTTGTGAAGTATGCTGATGATTTAACGGTTTCAATGGCTGTTAACTCCCAGCTAGATTGTACTAAAATAAATAGCTTTCTATCGGAAGTCAGCAAATGGTCTGAGTCTAACGGTCTTAAACTGAATCCTTCTAAGTGTCAAACTGTTGATTTCAGCTTAAGATGTAAACGACAGTTAAAAGAAGTCATCGATTCTCATGACAGTTGTAAAATTGACGACAATGATATAGGAATCAAATCAGAAATTAAGTATCTTGGACTCATTCTCTCTTCTGATCTCTCCTGGTCTTCCCATGTCTTAGCAATCTCCAGTAAAATATTCCGCTTGACATTTTACATTAAGAAGTTAAGACACTCGGGTATAACTCAACCCCTCCTCCTACAGTTCATAAACTCTTGCATCCTACCTATTCTTCTTTATTGCTCACCCTTATTCTTTCCTGGTTTGCTTAAAAAAGACTATGTCACAATTCGTAGAATACTGAAGACTGTCAGTAGGTGAGTGGTGTCCCAGTGGACCACATAGTTAACGTCGTTGTCGATAGGCATTTGACTTCGTGCAATAAATTTGCTAAAGGGATTTTGTCTGACTTGGAGCATCCGCTTTACCCTCAGCTTTCACCTTGCATCTCCTCAGGTAGAACAAGGAGTAACTTCAGAAAACTGTATGCTCGCACGTCTAAGTATAAAAATTCTATGATACCATACTTGGCACGTATTTTATGTGATGAAAATAGTGTCAGGCAAGAATTAACTAACCTTCTTTCATCTAGTAAATAAACAATTTCCTCCATCCATCCTTACATACCTTCAAGTTTTACTTTTATTACTTCTATTATATTTATGGTCCTGTTACTTTTCTGTTTTACTCTCATAATTGCAAACACCAACTTATCTCCATGACGGCTGTAATCTTTTTTTTTCCTTCACCATATCATGTAAAGAGAACATTATATTCAATATTTTTAAACATGTTAGGATTTCTATACCACATTGCCAATACTGTGTGACACAAGCCAACGGCAATTTTCACTTGTATTCTTATTATTATTACCCTAGCTGTTATCATTATTATTGCTATTTCCATTTTATATGCTGCATGTTTTTGACACTACCTCTATTGTAAATGTGGAAAATTTTCTGTGTGATTAATTTTATTTATAATTTGAGGAAATTAGATGCAATATTGTGATTAATGCTGAAAATTCCAATCTGTATCACAAGTACTGTTTTTGGAATAAAGTAAATCATTATTATTATTATTATTATTATTATTATTATTATTCTACGCTAAAAGTGTATCCGCCGCATAACTGGCCTTTATTGTAAAGACAACAAATATTATATTTTATAATTGTAAGAACCTGAAGATGAGAAATTATTGAAAAGAATATTCTTCGTTCAGATTGACTTTTACTTCATAATATAGGAATATTTCACACTATCAAATCTTATAACAGATGTACTATTACCTTTGATATTTGGTTTGAACGATCTTCATTGTTATTTTGACTTTCAATATGTCCTTTTAAGTTGAACTAAGTCTATATTTTTTCTCACCCCGTAACTCTTTGTTATATATATGCTGAGATTTTGTAAATTCCGGTTTAATAATACTTTGATAAAGCTATTAGCAGCAATAAATAGCGAAACGTCAGTAAAAACGACAATATCGTTTTGTTTTTCACTCATTCATTGGGAAATACAAAAAACCTTTATTATAATGAATATCATATACGCAATGCCCAATTTTTTTCAAACCGTTAAAAGTGAACTTGGTTTGGACATATATAATATTTCAACAAGTTTAAGAAACAGATTTAATATTTCACTCTCCTTTAACACCAACTATTCTCTATTATTTAACTAAGCGGAACTAGCTACAGTTTCATGATACTTTCCGTCGAAATCCGAGATCGGTTAGAGAACAGTTGAAATTTGCGAAACCTTGAGTAGTCTTTACTTTCAAGTCTAGTACTCTTCGGCGTTGAATATTAATAACTTCATAAAGTACTGAAATCAAGATCCTTAGGTTGTAAACTTAACGGATAGCCAAGCAGCCACTGAGTTGGAACTCAGTTTGCTGTATAACTCTAAAATTACTCGGTTTCCTCTTACACATATGATGAACTTCAATAATAACGACTTGTCATTACAACATCAGAGTACATTACGTGGTCAGTAACTGACATTTCCAGGTCATCTTTATGTGCTAGACTCATTAAATCTGTCATTTGTCCTCTTCTTATATTGTAAAATTAAGGTAGACATAGAAATGTAATAAATTTTTGCTGTATCGTGACTTTTCAAAAAACTTGTGGCTGCAATCTGAAAAATATTTCAGCTGATTTTAAAGAAGTGAACACTTAATAGATCCACTTGCTCAAACCTTCATCATACTGTTAGTGCATACCATCTCAAAAAAAACTATTTTTAATTTATTTATATATCAAGCGTTCCATAAAGCTAAACACATGGTCATGAACATGTACTTTCGCATACAAACACTTATAAAGATAACGTTCTTCTCCGCTAAAGGTACATGCTTCATGACACTTTGCCTTTATTTGCAGGAAAAATCAAGCATTGTCGCTAACTTTTGTACAATTTGCAGTACAATTGCAAATCATCCACAGGAAGTTAAATGACATTAGATTTATGATTAGTTGATATCTGTAGCTTGTGAAATTCAATGTGTCTATTGTGATCATTCATATAAAACTACAGATGATTTTGTTCTCCTATTAAATTGTAAACCTTAGATCCCTATCTTCTACGTATTTTAGCTGATTTATGAAGTGCAAGAACAGGCGTGGATTAATGCTCTTGTCCATGCCAAGTAAATTACGAAACCGCGTCATCTTAGAGAGAATAAAAGATGTACTGGATTCAGAACGCCAACCAAGCGTCCAGAACAAGATGGATTCAGGAAAGGCAAGTCGTGTGCTCATCAAATTGAAACTCGACGCATCGTCATTGAACAAAGCATAGAATGGTCCTCAAACCACTACTTCAAGTTCACTGACTGCATGGACTGCATGATGCACAGCACTGTGGGGAGCGAGGAGAAAGCAGTAGGCTGGATCACCGATGAGGTTCTAGAAAATCTGGATTCCGCGCGTGGATGATATATGTCTAGTGTCACATAAACTCTAAGACTTGTGAGAGAAAATCAACAAACTGGCCGGATAGGGAGGCAGAGAAGACAGGACTCCAGGTGAACATAGAGAAGATTAAAACGAAGGTGATAGAGATAACGAACGAACCTCAACAACAACGAACAACAGTCACTACCAACGGGATAGATTTGACAGAGGTTATCTCCAATTATCTGCGAAGCACGATTTAAACCACAGGTAGTCGGAACGGATGAAGATGTTAAAGTCAACATCGGAAATGCAAGATACGCCTTCATCAACCTGAAGCCAGTTCGGAAATCTTCTGCTTCACTCAGCCAGCATAAACAACACGATTCAAGTTTTCAACACAAATGTGAATTCAGTCAGTCAGTTCTTCTATACACGTCAGAAAACTGGCGTGCCGCACAAAGTATTTCCAACAGATGGCTGCAGACTTTCATCAACAACTAACTTCAGTGGCTTCATAGTGAAGATCAAATGGCCGGCCGGCCAGAAAGAATTAGTAACAAGAAACTCATGTTGGGAATAAAAGAAACAAGAGCTGATAGCTCAACAAATATGTTGGGGAAAATGGAGATGGATGGGGCCATCGAATGACGTCGTGCGCAACGCAGGCCATCACTCAAGTGGAACTCCAAAGGGAAGTAACGAGTGGGTGGTCAGTGTGAGGGTGACATTGAGGAGATCATGTGAGGAAGAGATGAGAAAGTTTGGTCAATCGAGGACCCAGCTGAAGATGATGTCAGAGAGTGAAAGAAAGTGGAGATGTGTTGTTGAAGTCCTATGTTCCACTCAAGGCTTAGGGGAATAATATTATTAATATAATACAGTAAATAAAAATTAGATGAGCTAATAAAAACTACATCGTTGACAACGTAAAAGTAGACAATAGGTATGGGGTACGAGTACAGAAAAGCAACTCATACAGGACAAGCATCCAATTACAATAGCAATAACCTAACAGCATATAAAGGAACTTGTATAAAACCATTATTCAAAAGAAACGGGATACACTCTGACACTCCAGCCTTGAAAAGACCTCAGGAAAAATATTATCACTAAGTCCTAGAAAAATGGATAACCGTGAAATATCATCGAAAGATATCTACCCTCAAGCGAGCCAGCTAATTCAAACATATCCAGTGTAACGAGAAAGAAAATCGTCCTATTATAAATGAAGAACATCTGTGAAATTACCAAAGGACTACTGATACACTTTCGAATGGACATCACCCACAGACTAACAAATTCACTTCAATCTATACCATGCCAGTAAAATTACTTAACAGTAAAAGAAGATGAAGCCAACATTGTCTACAAAAAACTCTCAGCAATTATGAAAACATGATACTATTCAATGTGGACAACCACTACACCTTCGCATCCACGAATATCAACTGGCTGTTGAAGGACACGCTATCAATTCCTCTGCAATAATTCATACAGACAACTGCGGACAACAATTCGAAAGTTTGACCATGAGGTTAACAAAATAATCAGTACAAATGCAAGTGGATAATAGCGCAAGAAAAGCCGCAGAAACAATCAATTACGTGGAGGGTGTTAGTAAAAGATTGCTAGTAGATGCATGGATAATCCTAAAAGCTCACTTCATATCGAAGTCAACTATGAAGGTGTTATCCAGTAAAAAAACCAAAATGAATATTTCACAACCACAACATCCAACTCAGAGAACACAAACACTGTAATAACACCTAACACAACTGTAAATCTTATTCATTATTTCTCGAATAAGTACTTTTTATAAGTAGTTCGTATCTGTTTCACTTTGATATCAGCGATTTCACCCTTCATCCTACCATCTCACTACAGATAATTTTAAATAATTTTATGATCGTTCATCCTATCATATCTCAAATTTACTGCGATTATCTATGTGAGTATATAATAATAATAATAATAATAATAATAATAATAATAATGGTTTACTTTATTCCAAAAAACAGTACTTGTGATACAGAATGGAATTTTTAGCATTAATCACAATATTGCATCTAATTTCCTCAAATTATAAATAAAAACTAATCACACAGAAAATTTTCCACATTTACAGTAGAGGTAGTGTCAAAAACATGCAGCATATAAAATGGAAATAGCAATAATAATGATAACAGCTAGGGTAATAATAATAAGAATACAAGTGAAAATTGCCGTTGGCTTGTGCCACACAGTGTTGGCAATGTGGTGTAGAAATCCTAACATGTTTAAAAATATTGAATATTATGTTCTCTTTACATGATATGGTAAAGGGAAAAACAAAGATTACAGCCGTCATGGAGACAAATCGGTGTTTTCAATTATGAGAGTAAAACAGAGAAGTAACAGGACCATAAATATAATAGAAGGATCGATGGAGGAAGTTGTCTATTTACTAGATGAAAAAAGGTTAGTTAATTCTTGCCTGACACTATTTTCACTATCACATAAAATACGTGCCAAGTATGGTATCATAGAATTTTTATACTTAGACGTGCGAGCATACAGTTTTCTG